CCACGGAGCGCGCAGCAGCACGCAGTGCGCACGGACGCGCAGAGACGCGCGCGAGCGTGGAACAGCGTGCCGAGGTGCGCAGATATTCGCGCTCATAGGTAAGGGGCGCAGAGTGTCGCGCGGACGTGCGCACAGGTGCGAAGACTCGCGATGCTCGAAGAAGTGGGCAGTAGCGCACACGGGCGCACGGAGACGCCGAAACGCGCGCAAGCGCGCAGAGGCGCGCGGAGTGCAGAGGCGCGCGGGAACGCGCAGCGGCGTGCCGAAGTGCACGTGCGCACAGGGGGCGCGCGCAAGTTCAGAAGCGCGCGCAAGCGCGCGGATGCGCGCATATGTCCAAAGGCGCGCAATAAGTCTACAGGAGCGCAGACGCGCAAAGATGCGCGTCTTGCAGCGCGCCGCAACAGACGAAGTCGCGCAGTGGTGCGCAGACGCGCACACACGCTGAGAAGCGCGAGCGGTCGCGCATGCAGAGCGCAAACGAGCCGCTGAGGACAAGACAGGCATGGCTGCGCCAGCGCGCAGGAACGTTATCAGTGCACATTGGCCGCGGGGGAAATTGTTCACCGCGCACATTGGCGGCGGGATGCAGAAGCTCACGCATCAGTGAGCAGCTGGCAGCGTTGATGCTGCGTTGGGTGACGAATATTCACGATTGCATCGCAAGCTGCTGCGCTGTCTGGCGTCTTCTGGTGCATTGGGAGTCTCGGATTGAGATCCAGAAGATCCCAGCCAGGCAGCGCTTCCCTCAAGCCCCTTGCTGGCGCGAAGGCGCCGGCCATTTGTCTGCGCATGCGAAGGCTTGGCGGCCGCAATGATTTTCATGGCGCGTAAACTTGTTTCCGTCACAGGAAAATCATCAGGAGCAAGCCCTCGCATTGTTTTCTCCTTGCTTCTTCGCCTCTATGCCTCTTCGCCTGCCTCGCGGGCTAGTCGTCCTCGGCAAGCCGGCGATTCCGTGGAACGGCGGAAGTGAGCTCCTGGGCGTGGCTCTGCTGGTGTGGGGTTTCTCGAGGCTTGCCCGCGCTCCTCGTCGCCGCAGCCCGCGTTCCTCGTCGCCTAGGCGTGTCCGTTGTCCTCGTCGCTTGAGCTTCCTGGAGGAAGCAGCGTCGAAAGCTAGTCGATTCTTGCCGCTCCTCGTCGCCTTGACCGCTGGGAGTGTCGTCCTGCCGCTCTTGCACAGCCATGTCCGCCGACTTGGGGACCTCTGGCTTGCCACGCCTACCGACTTGGAGGCCTCTGGCGCCAAGCCCGCCGACTTGGGGGCCTCTGCCATGGGTCCCTGCCTTTTCGCGGGCAGACCCAGGGTCCCTGTCTTCTCGCGGACAAACCCAAGCCCTAAGGGCTGTTCCCCTTCGGGCCTTTGCCTTTTCGCGGGCAAACCTAGGCTTCCTGCTTTCTCGCGGACAAGTGCTGCTTCAAGAGCGTGATGCTCTCTGGCGGGAGCGCTCTGTCTGGCGTGCCCACGCTCGTCGCCACCCTGGCCCGCCGAGAGGGCATCCTCAGCCATGTCCGCCGACTTGGGGACCTCTGGCTTGCCACGCCTACCGACTTGGAGGCCCCTGGCGGCTAAGCCCGCCGACTTGGGGGCCTCTGGCATGGGTCCCTGCCTTTTCGCGGGCAAACCCAGGGTCGTGTCTTGTCGCGGACAAACCCAAGCCCTAAGGGCTGTTTCTCACCGCGCCTGCGCGCCGTCTCTGGCCCACCCGCATACCACCCTCGCGGCTTTCGCCGGTGCCCTGTCCTGGCTGGGAGTCTCGGATTGAGATCCAGAGGATCCCAGCCAGGCAGCGCTTCCCTCAAGCCCCTTGCTGGCGCGAGGGCGCCGGCCATCTGTCTGCACATACGAGGGCTTGGCGGCCGCAATGATTTTCCTGAATCCCAACTCGAATCGAATGGGAATCGGAATCCGAAATCGAATCGCATCGAGTCGGAGAAATCGAAACGAGCCCTGGCTTCGCGCGGGGGCATCCGCGACAGAAAACGCTCCGCATCTGCGGGGTCGCGGCCCAGGGCCCATCCCGCGAGGCCGTGGCCGTGGATGCGGATCCGTCTTTTCGCCCACGCGTGTCTGGACTTCCCGGGGCGCTCTCGGGACCCCTCAGTTAGAGAGCAGAACATCCACCCCCATATCATCACCCCGATGCGCGAAGCCGTTTCGTAAACGCACCTACATGTATGGAAGGAATCGAACAGGGCGAGGCAGTTTCGTGAACGCCCAGGGCCGTCCAGCAAACGCAAGTTATCATTAGGTCGGGCATGTCCCCCTACAGGCGGATTCTGGACGAAAAATAAGACATACTCAAAAATGCCCTCAAATACTCAAAAAGTAATCGAAAATCGTCTCCAGACTTTTAAAAACAAATGTATTTTTGAATATTCCTCCTGTAAGAGGGACGTGCCCGACTATAGCGTCCAGGGGGCCTTTCCTCCCTTGACCCTGGGCGCCCCCGTGGCCGCGGCTGGATCCGCCCGGAGATCCTGGCCAGAGCGCACCCCTGGTCAGGTCGGGGGTCGCTTTGGCTTCGTTCTCTTTGCCCGCGAACACAGAACTGCGGGCCAGCACACATCGAGACGGCACGTTTGCCAAACTTGAGGGGCCTCGAGAAGACGATTTCGGGCCCAAGGACAACCACTCACTCAAGAGCCGCGCCTGAACGGCGCACCGCACCGGCAAAACAAAAGACTACATGCACGTCTGGGAACGGCTGCTGTGTCTCGGAGCTCGACCACCGGTAACCTCTGTGCAAATGGCGTGCGAGGGTGATCAGCAGCGCTCGCGTGCAGGAGGGGGCGACTCGAGCTGCACCGCCGACAGAGTATCGAGAGGTCCAGGGGCCCATGTCGCGAACGAAATCGAACCGCTGGATGTCTGGGAGGGGAAGGAGCGGGGAAGCCGAGATTCGAGGCTTTTCCTTTCGGGGAACTGAGCCTTTTGCTCATTCCGAGGCCTCGTGAAGAAGGACTACGCATCGGTCGGAAGAAGTAGGTAGAAACATAAAGTAGGAAGACGTTGGAAGTAGATTGGGTCTCCGCCCGCCCCCTGAAGAGGAGGGAAGAGGGGAAGCCACTCGATCAATGAAGCAGGCAGGAGCTTAGAGTAATTAGATTGGAACCTGGGACTCCAACACTACGTACTTTCAACGACAGATGGGTAGTGGGAGCAGACTGGGGGGGACGGGCCTTGGGAAAGAAACGTCGGCCTGGACTCGACGGTACATCCAACGGCACACTGGAAGCAGCTCGCGCGATCCCTGGCAGGGCCGAGCACCCGAGCCCCGCTCGGCGATGACCGGGGCATCAGGAGGCGATGCTCTTCCGCTTGAACCAAGGCCCCCTCCTTTCGGTGCCCCTGACGGGGCGGGCTGGCCCTCCTGAGGATGCGGGGGGTGCGCCGCGCCCACGATACGCCCACTCCAACTCTGTCCAAACCCGCCCGCGGAATCGCAGAGCGTGCCGGGGCGGTGGGAAACACGGCTGCCTCGTCTTCAGGGCGAAAAATCCACTCCCATAGTAATTACCCCGACTCGCGAAGTCGTTTACCAAAGGCCCCCCCCTAAAGGAATCGAACAAGGCAGGGCTCTCTAGCAAACTCCCAAAGCCGAGCAGTAAACGCCAATTGTCGGGTCCGGGCTGGTTTTCCTCCCCTCCGATCCCCTCCCCTCCAATCTCTCGCCTCTCAGCCTCTGCCCTCCCCTATCCCGCCCCGCCCTCAGAGCTGCGCGCCCCCGGCAGAGGCTCCCAGCGGAGCACCCTCGTGGATTTCCGCTCCCCTACTCCCCGCCCTCCCCATCTGCACCCCTCGCAGCCCCCTCCTCCTTCTCCCCCTCCTCTTCCTCCGCCTCCTTGACCGTCGTGATCGTGGTCGTGGCTGTGGCTGGAGGAGGAGGAGGAAGAGGAGGAGGAGGAGGAGGGGGAGGGGGAGGAGGGGGGAGGACAAGTTAGGTGCGCTCGCGTCAACATCTGACATCCTACCCCTCCCTCCCATCCCTCACCATGGCGCTGATTTTCTCTATCCGCGGACGCGTGTCGTAGCGAACCTGTGGCTCCGCGCGCGTGTGCGTAGTGGGTGGTGGTGCGCGTGCGTGCGTGCGTGTGTGCGTGGTTGTGGTTGTTGTGGTGGTGGTGTGTATGTGTGTGTGTGTGTGTGTGTGCGTGTGTGCGCGTGTGCTGTGGTGTGACGTGGTGTGGCGTCTTGGTGGTTTGGTGGTGGGCCAGGTGCGTACGTGCGTGATGGCGGTGGTGGTGGTGGCGGTGGTGGTGTGTGTGTGTGTGTGTGTGTGTGTGTGTGTGTGTGTGTGTGTGTGTGTGTGTGTGTGCGTGTGTGTGTGTGTGTGTGTGTGTGTGTGTGTGTGTGTGTGTGCGTGCGTGCGTGCGTGCGTGCGTGCGTGCGTGCGTGCGTGCGTGTGTGTGTGTGTGCGCGCGTGTGATGTGGTGTGACGCGGTGTAGGTGCGGTGGTGGTGGCGGTGCGCGGTGGTGGTGCGCGTGCGTGCGTGCGTGCGTTGGTGGGTGGAAGTGGCGGTGGGTGTGCGTGCGGCGGGGCGGGGCGTGGTGCGGCGCGGTGGTGGCGGGCGGATGGGCGCGCGAGAAAGAGGCCCGCGCTGGGGCGAGAACGCCATCCTGAACGACAGAGGCAAAACACCGATCCGAAAATTAGGCCCACGCTGCAGCGGGAGCACGATTCGGAACGATTCGGGAGCAGAAATGAGGCCGGCGCCTCAGCGAGAGCAGCATTTTGAAAAAAACGCAGGCGAAAACCCAACTCCCGCGAATCCTGTGTGTTAAAAAACAGTACGCGGGGGGGGGTCGAGTATCCCCTGGACGGCATCACGGGAAGAGGGAGAGTAGTATTCATATTGAGTAATTGTGGAGGAGGAGGAGGAGGAGGAGGAGGAGGAGGAGGAGGAGGAGGAGGAGGAGGAGGAGGAGGAGGAGGAGGAGGAGGAGGAGGAGGAGGAGGAGGAGGAGGAGAGGCGCGCGCGGCGCGGGCGCGGGCGCGCGCCGCGGGTGCCTGCGACAGGGCAGCGGCGGCTCGCCCCGCCGACCGGTCGAGGGCCTGCGGCGGCCGCTCGGCGGGGCCGGCGGCCTCCCGGGGCAGCTGCTCCGCGCCGGAGCCGAGGTGCGGCGCCGGCGGGGGCTGAGGGCGGCGAGGACGGCGGCGAGGGGCTCCTCCTCCTCCTCCTCCTCCTCCTCCTCCTCCTCCTCCTCCTCCTAGGGGATCGACTACAGGATTGGTTTGCCCCAGAATTCATTTTTCTGGTCGAATCCACAGGCAGCGCGCAGACTTTTCGCAGCTCTGCGAGCGGTTGACGTGTTTTGGTGGAGGAGTCGACGTGGAGATCAATTTTGGGGTACATCAATTCCGCAGTCGATCCCCCAATCGAGCGAGGGGCGGCGGGGGGCTCGCCATCGCCCGGACGTCCATGCCGTGCGCGCGCTGCTCGACGTCGCGCGTGCGTGTCTGTCGCCGGACGCTCCACGATGCGCCTCGATGGCCTTCGCCGAGGAAAAAGCGCACACGTCCGAGCAAAGCCAAGGGGGGAGGGGCTCGAGGCATGGGGGCCGACGTGTGTCGAAGATGGGCGGTCGTGGCCGTTGGACGACGACGACGACGGCGGAGGGTGGCGGGGGGGGGCTCGAGGCAGGGGGGCCGAGGTGTGTCGAGCATGGACGGTCGTGGCCATTGGACGCCTGTGTTTCTCCTTGGGCCTCCAAAACCTCCACGTGGCCTGCTGGGGGGGCCTCCGGGGTCTTCCGCGGTGGGGGGGGGCAGGCTCAGAACGGAGGGGAAACAACAGGATCGAGGATCGCACAAGGGTTGCTGGAATAGGGAACGCTCGAAAGGAAAGACGCTTCTTCTTGGCGCCGGCAGCGCCTAGGTGCAAAAGGAGGGCTCGATGAACAACCACGGGATGACCGAAGGAATAGCGAGCCCCTTCCGAACCCAAAGCGGTCTTTATTTCAACGTCTTGACTGTAGGGGCAACTCTGTGTGACTTCGCCAGCCGACGTGTGCAGGTAATTCAGCTTGACACATTCAGTTCGACACATTGTTCGCACCTTCGGATTATGCCCTTTGACAGTTCAGTTGGCCCAGCAACGGAGCAATCTCCCAGACAGTTCGTGTTGTTTCGACGTTTGGCCGAAAGGTGGGGGAAAGAGGGGGGTCTGGGTCAGGGCCAGTGCGTATTCGATCTGTTTCTACCAGTCGCGTGAGCAGTCAGGGGAGAAGGATCCTGACCAGCCGCTAAGAACAACCGCCAAACGCAGACAAGATCGGGTGTCGCCGACTGGTGAAACATGGAGCCAGGACCGACCGTTCTGGCATTCCTATAAGCCTACCACGAAATGCTCGTGGAACCAACAAAATGATCGAATAACAATAACCAAATTCTTAAAACCTGAAGCCGGTGTGCTAACGCAAAACGGTCTCCGCCAGAAGCGTTCAAAGAACACCTCGTGCAAACCAGAGGTTCTTAGATCATTCTCTGGTGGGCCTACAGGAAAGTCAGGACGCCTCGTCACTGCTTGGGGGGGGGAGGAGGAGGAGGAGGAGGAGGGAGGAGGAGGAGAGGAGGAGGAGGAGGGGAGGAGGAGGAGGAGGAGGAGGAGGAGGAGGAGGAGGAGGAGGAGGAGGAGGAGGGGAGGAGGAGGAGGGAGGAGGAGGAGGAGGAGGAGGAGGAGGAGGAGGAGGAGGAGGAGGAGGAGGAGGAGGAGGAGGGGGAGGAGCCCTCCTGGAGAGCTCTCTGGGCCTCCGGGGGTCGCCCTCGTCGCCGCGGCGCTGGAAACGTTCGGCGGATTATCTTCGGCCAGAGCCTGCCCCGGGGCAGCGTCCGTTGGCCGCGCTGCTCGCGCTGCTCCAGGCGGGCTGCCCTGGGCAACAGCTCCAGGGATGCATCTGTGACTGGGATCTCTCTCTCTCTCTCTCTGTATATATATATATATATATATATATATATCTGTATCTACGGTACGAGAACGACTACCAGAAACCTTCCACAAGAAACCCAACCCTGAGACCCAGGGGCGCCAATTGACTTTTGGTGTGGGAGCGTCGCGCTTTCCATAGCAGGAGGCAGGCAGGGTGTTTCTTGGCATGGGTCTCCACTGTATCTCTCCCTCTTTCTCTGTCCCTGCCTCTCTGCCATGAACGAGAGGGCAAAGGCGGGCCAGCAGGCAACAACAGGGGGCGAGGTGGAAGCGTCCTCGTGACAGCTCGACAAGGCGACCTCCAGGAGGCAAGGGGACCTCACGGAGGAGGGGGGGGAGGATGCGTATGCGGATGCGGATGCGGATGATGATGATGATGATGATGATGATGATGATGATGATGATGATGATGATGATGATGATGATGATTATGATGATGATGATGATGATGATGATGATGATGATGATGATTTTGCTAATGATGATGATGCTAATGATGGTGATGATGCTGATGATGATGATGATGGTGATGATGATGATGATGATGATGATGACGATGACGATGCTGATGCTGATGCTGATGCTGCTGGTGATGATGATGAGGAGGAGGAGGAGGAGGAGGAGCGGAGGAGACAGCATGCATGGGCGGTCCCTGCCTCTCTGTCAGTCAGTCAGTCTGTCTTAGTCTCTTGCTCTGGCTGGCTGTGTCTCTCCCTGTGCGTGTGCATAGGGCAAGAGTGCGGCGGTGGCGGAGGTCAAGGCGAGGACCACAGCTGGGGCCAACGCTTCGACATCGCATTATGTTTCGTCAACGCTCCGGATGGACTCGGAAATCAGCTGGATGGGCTCTACTCCGCCGGATGGTTTCTAGAGCGGACTCGAAAATCAGCTGGATGGGCTCCAAGCCGCTGGATGGGTTCTAAATTTTCAGCGTCGGCTCTGAGGAAAACTTTACCGAACTGACTCTTACCGCTGCTGCTCCTCTTCCTCCTCCATGCTTCTCCTGCTCCTCGTCCCATTTCTCCTTTCCCTCCCCCTTCCCCGCAACGTCACCGGCGGCTCCCGTGTACCCCGCAACACTACTGACCCCCGCCCCTCCCCCCCCCGTCTGCTCCCCGCTCCCTCCCTCCCTACGTGCACCTCCTCCCCATCGTCGTCCCCCGTGCAAGACCGGCGGCGAGCCCAGAGGGGGAAGCGAGAAGGGGCGGGCCTTCTCGGAAGGCTCGGCAGTCCCCCGGCCTCCTGAAGAAGTCCTCGAGGCCTCCCCCGAAGACACAGGCAACCTCTCAGCAGGCTGGAGGGGGGGCCTTCTGAGAAGCCCCGCCTCTTTCTGAGAATGCCCTCTCCTTCTCACTTCCCCCCCCTCTCGCTCGCCGCCGACCCGCTGCTCCCCACTCCCTCCCTCCCTGCAGCAGGTTCCCGCCGTGTCGACCCCAGCGCTGGTTCCTGACACCGCGCGGGATCGTTCAACCTCGAGCGATCGGCGGCTTCTCGATCGCCAGATCGCTCCACCTAGGGCCGATCCTGGGCCACTGGCGGCGTTCAACCTCGAACGCCCGCGGCGGGGTCGCGGCGAGTCGACACGACGCGAACCTGCGCACGTGCACGTGACCGTTTTTTTATTCGTCGTTTCGACAATCGGCGGAAGGGAGGGGGGAGGGGGGGGGGGGTCTGGCTCCGGACCTCTGCTGAGTGCGACTGCTTGGGATCGTGCGCCCTATGGGGGTGACCCCACCTGCTCGAACGAGGCGCCAAAAACGGCCAAGATCTACTCCACAGGGGGGGGGGGAGAGGGGGGGGTGCGAGAGGAGCCCGCGCCGATCGGCAAACAAATTAATAAAAAACTCACCACCGCCGCGACCCCGCCGCACAAGATCGGCTGGCGACCCCGCCGCACAAGATCGGCTGGCGACCCCGCCCGCGGGCGTTCAACCTCGAACAACGCCCGCGGCGGGGTCGCGGCGAATCGACACGACGCGAACCTGCCGTACGTTCACCTCCTCCCGCTCATCCCCGCTGCAGGAACCAAAGCTGGGGCAGGGGCCGCGCGGCTCGCCGCGCTGCCGCCGCAGCTGTGCGTGCCGTACGGCCTCCGCGGGAGATGAGGGGAGGGTGGGGCCTACACACAGCACGGCGCAGCTCGGCTCACGCCCTGCCATCGCTCGGACGTCCATTCCCCTGTGCATTCTATGGTAGTTTCGTGTTTTTTTGCATTCCCCATATATGCACATATATTGTACATGATCCAGGATGATCCTCTATGGTCCTCGCCGCGAATAAGATGCACGCGTCCGAGCGGTGCCGAGGCAAGAGGGATCACCCGCAGGCGGGGAAATGGGGGAAACGAGCGCGATGAAACTGATGAGCGGACGGGCAGCCCCTCTGGACTTGCAACCCTGGCAGCTTTAGGAGCCCATGACCCATGGCCACACAGAGTTCACGGACGAGTGACGCGAACGCCCTTCAGGGTGGGAGCGGAATCTGGACTCTCGACGCCGCGCGTCGCAACACACACATAAACACAAAACACAAAAACACAAACAGAACAACAACCACGCACAACCGCGTATACAACCGCACACACACATATATATATATATATATATATATAAAGACAAGAACACACAAAAACGAATACACACACATACACAATTACACACGCTTACACACTTACGCGCGCCTACGAACACTTACACAGGTGCACACGCTTACTCAATTGCACACTTCGATTCATTCCGGCACACTTAGACACACTTCCACACCCTTATACGCTTACGCAAACTTGCGCAAACCTACACACATAGACACGCGTTACACACACTCACACTTTACACACGACCACGCACTTCCACTTCTTCACACTTACACATATCTACACACGCTTCCACTTGCACGCACTTACACATACTTACGCACGCCTAAGCACACTTACAAACACTTACGCACACTTACACGCACCCCTTACACACACTTACCCACACTTGCCCACACTTACACACACCTACACACATTTACGCACACACTTACGCTCATTTACACGCATACTCTCTCTCACACTCACACGCTTACACATTCTTTCATACACACACTTGCACCCACTTACACCCTCTAACATTCACTTACCCACACTTACACACACACCTGCACGCATTTACACACACACACGCACATTTACGCACACTCACACACGCATGCGCACTTTTGGCGTCGCGGCGGAGTCGGGAAAGAACCGGTAGTTTTCCGCCGGGGCTCACGTTGCTCGAGCGAGGGGCACAGGGCTCACACGCAGAAGGAACCACGCTGTGCGGGCATCCCTCGGGGGGGGTCGCCGAGAGGGGGGACGAGCGGGGAAATGACGGCGGGGAAGCGCACGAGGACGCATCCAGGTGGTGAGCCACAGTGACGCATCCCAAGGTCGAGCAGGAGAGGCGCAGCGGAAACCACGGAACCACAGCGTACGACGGACCACGACGCAAACACACACACACAAGCACAAGCACAAGCACAAGCACAAGCACAAGCACAAGCACACACAAACACACACACAAACACTGTCGTCGGCGGCCGCGCGCTCGGCGACGAGCCGGTCACAATGGGTGCTTCTTCGCCTGCGATACGCTGGGGACCATCAAACAATCAAGGAGCGCATTGTCAGAGAGCTCCCAAAGTCAGCCTCATCCCTGCTACGGCGCTACGGCAAAGTGCCACTAACCATGCGATTCTAGAAGATGCCGAGGGGCTCCTCAAAGAGCGGCCCCCCCAAACATGGAGGCCGCCCGCGCTGGAGTGCCAGCGGGTACAGAGTTGGTCTCCGTGGCAGCGGGCGCGCGGGTGTTCTGCATCCTGCGAAGTGGACAAAGAGGGCGCAACGAGGAGGGGAAGCCAAACGATAATGGGTGCCGGCGCGGTGGACGTGTTCTACTCGGCGCACAAGACAATATCATTTAAGAAGATTTCTCCCCAACTTTGCACGTCCTCCTTGGGGCCGTTCTGGGGCAATGTGGACCTTCGCGGGGTCGTCATTTGGACTCTCTTGCAGCCTTTCGGGGCCACCTCAGGCTTTCTTGGGCTCTCATGGGGCCATCCTCGAGCCTTCTGGAGACACCTCGGGGCACTCTTGGTACGCTTCTGGGCCGTCATTGATTCCTCCGGAGGCTCTCTTCGACCTTCCCGGGACCAAAAACATGCTGCATCATGCGGGGGACAAGAAAGGCTTCAATGGTGCAGACCTCCTTGTCGGCCTGGGAACGGCCTCCGTATTGGCTGGAGGTGATTGAGAACCGGTTTATACACAGCACGTATGGTTGTCGGCTGCGTGATGATGACTTCTTACTCGGCATGAATGAAGGGGCCCTGGGACACACAAACAAATACACACAAATAACCGGATTCCCCCTATTTTCCAATATTTTCTGGGTTTTTGTCTTCCCCCCCACTTCCCATATTTTCCAATCTTTTCTGGGGAATCGATGATTCCTTGTGTCTGTGTGTTTTCTTCCCCTCCTGAGTGAATATGGACCTGCCACCTCGCTCAGGCGATCCTGGATACGGCAGGTTCGTGTCGTGCCGACCCCAGCGTTGGTTTTTGACACCGCAGGGATCGTTCAACCTTGAACGATCGGCCGTTCCCGCAACGTCCAATCGTTCAACATCGACCGATTCTGGGTCGCCCGCGGCGTTCAACCTTGAACGCCCGCGCTGGGTCCGCCGCTGGTCGACACGACGCAAACCTACCGTACCCCTTGGCGCGTGGGCATGCATTCTATAGGCACTGGCGCTGTTCGTGAGACCACGGGCAGGGCACACGAGGGCCCGAGGCCTCTCCGGGGCCCCAACGAGGGCCCCCCCTGACCTGGCCGAAGCCGACGCGCTCCCCCGAACGCACCGACCCCGGCGCCCCCGATCTGGGCTGCGGCAGCCGAAATTTCGGCCAGCGCGAATCTGATTGTCGGGCCGGGCGGAAGGGGGGGATAGCAAAGGGGGGGTTGGAGAATCAGCTCACATGGCTGATTTTCCCGGCGCCTCCCGGCGCCGGAGGCGGCCATGTATCGAGGAATGGGCCCCTCGGTGGGGCTGAAACCAGCTGCATGCAGCAAATTCCGTAACCCCCCCTTTCTCAATCCCCCCCTTTCGCCCGGCCCGAGATTGGACATCGACATGCGAAACGGGCGGGGGGGGGGCGCGCGCAGAAGGGCAGCGACACCTGCTCCCGCGTGGCCGCCCCGGTTGGCTTTCGCGCCTGCCTGCCCCCACCCCCGCCGCCCCAGAGGCCCCCGCCGCCCCAGAGGTAAAACAGGGCTAGGATCGGGATAAATCGCTCCAGAGCGTTCCGGAGCGCTCTCAGAGCGTTCCGGAACGCTCTGGAGCGGCCGCGGCGCCCAATGCATCCTCCAAACCCGCCGATTCTCAGAGATTCCGAGTTATCCCGATCCGATTTTGTCCCGATCTTCGAATTGTTTTACCCCCGCCGCCCCAGAGGCCCCCGCCCCCCGCCCCCGCCTCCCTGTCGGAACCCCGACGGCCCCCGCCCTCCTCTTCCACCTTGTGCCCCCCTTAGCACCCACCTCTCGCCGGGCGCCGGATCCCAGGCCCGGATCGGCTGTTTGAGGGCTGAGCACGACCCCCTCGGGGTCGAGACCAGTGGAGTCTGGGCAGCCTTCTCGGGGGACATCATGGGGACCGGCTCATCCTCCTGAGCCGCCAGGAGCTCCACCGCCGCTGCTGCTGGTCCCGTCGCGCGGATCGCCTGGGCTAAGAGGTCTACCAACCGTCCGAATCGGAGAGCTCCTCGATGACAAAACCATCGTGGGGAGCACGGCAAATGTTTACCGATTGCCCTGGGCCAGCCGGGCATGGAAGCAAAGGCAGTGAAAAGGCATGTGATTGCACCCAGTCGCCCTGAGCCGCGCGCTCCGAAGGACTCCCGCGGACAGAAAACAATAGTCGACATCGGTCCTCCTCCACTTCCTCCTCACCGCTCTTTTTCCCTCGCTCGTCTTGCTCCCCTGGCTCATCTTCTCACCTGACTCATCCCCCTCCCCTCCTCCCTCCTCCCTCCTCCTCCTCCTCCTCCTTCTCCTCCTCGGCCATCTTGTGGCTATCTCCAGGCGTCTTTGGCGTGTTGTTGCGTCTTGGGGGCCACTTTGGGGCATGGGGCCCTGAAGAGAAATAAGGACCCCAAACAACGGCCCAAACTTCCGGCGTTCCGCGATTCACGTGAAGGGATGGGCCACGAAGCTGTATAGCTTCCAGGAGGTGTCACAGGTGAACGATGAAGGATATCATCGGAGCACACCGCCGTCGCAGGCACAACATACTATCAATGTCTGGGAGTCGGCGCCGTCATACTACTTCGCGGCACGTTCGCCCAAACGCAAGCACGCACTTCTCGAGGCCCGCGCGGATTTCTTGGGTCGGCGCCGGAAGCGCCGTCCCTCCACCCCTGGCCGTGCCTCTGGCGCCGCACATGGCGCGGGCGGCTCTGGTGCCGACTCAAAAAATCGCGCGGACCTCCGAACATGCTTTTCTTAAACAGGGCCGAGCTCGCAAGACGAAGTAATAAAACGAATGCACGTGAGCACGGGGACCAGGTGGCCAGGTCTTGCCACTCTGAGGCGTCCACAACGGCGGCGGCTGGAGGGAGGAGGGGAACATACGACGAGGGAGGAGGAGGGGAGGAGGAGGAGGAGGAAGAGGAAGCGGCGTCTGCAGCGGCGAAGTTGTAACACAAATGCGCGCAAGCACGGGACCCAGATGGTCAGATGTTGCCACTCTGAAGCGTCCACAACGGCGGCTGGAGGGAGCAGGAGGAGAGAATGAGACGAGGGAGGGGGAAGCGAGGAAGAGGATGAGGAGGAGGAGGAGGAGGCGGCGCTCACAGCAGCGAAGTTGCACCACAAATACTCGCAAGCACGGGACCCAGATGGCCAGATCTTGCCACTATGAGGCGTACGCAGCGGCGGCTGGAGGGAGGAGGGGAGAAGAAGATGAGGGAGGGAGCTGCGTCTGCACTGGAGCAGGGTTCACGTAGCGTCCCCCCGCCAGTGTCGGCACGCACCTCACACGGATCGTGCCCCCAAGGGGATCCACTTCTGGTGCCAGGGACAAAATTCGAACGGCATCCTTCTGCCCGTTTCGGCTAACCCTTCACACGGATCGTGCCCCACAGGGAATTCGTCCACGTGCGGCCCCTGTCACATGAAGGGGCCTTGGGACACACAAATAAATACACACAAATAACCGGATTCCCCAAATTTTCCTATATTCTCATGGTTTTTGTCTTCCCCCCCACTTCCCATATTTTCCCGTATTTTCCTGGAAATCGACGATTAACTGTGTATGTGTGTTTTTTCCCCTCCTGAGCACAGATCCTTCGCATGCCGCCGCCCCGCCTATGTGGGCACACCCCTGACATGGATCGTGCCCCACAGGAAGTTCCACGCACGACCCCAGAGCGAAGGCTCGCAGGCGCCCCCACGCCCATTTCGGGACACCCATCGCACGGATCGCGCCCCGCAGAGATCTCCACCGACGGCCCTGGAGGGAGGGTTCGCATGGCGTCTGCCCCTGCATTTCGGCACACCCCTGATGCGGATCGTGACCTGCGAAGATCTGGGAGACGTAAAACTCGGGTATGGGGGACTCGGGTTGGCCTGACGGGGGCCATCATAAAAATGACGAGACCCGATCTGAAATGTGGCGCGGGCTCCCGCTGCAGACATCCCACGAAACCTGGACCGTCAAAATCCAGGACGCGCTCGTCAAAAAACTTCGGCAAACCCGAGCTCCGGCTTACTCGAATCTTACGCTTCCTCGCAAAAGAGCTTCACCTATGGCACCAACAGGAAACTTTGCATGCCTTCCCTACGCCCATTCCGGCGCACGCCTCACGCAGATCGCGTTCCACGGGGAGCTCCACCTGCGGCCCCAAGGTGCGCGCCCGCTCGTTCGCCACTCTCTCCACGGGCACTCTGCGCGCGCATAAAGTTCTAGCGCAGGCAAGGGCGTGGTGACGACACAATAGAGGAATGATTCGTGCTTCGTGGAGCTGGCGCCAGATTGCGATACCTCTGCGTGACTGTCTCTCTCTCTCTCTCTCGACTTATAAGTACACATAACTTCTCTTACAACATCCTCCGACATTTGTGCTTTCTTTATTTGTGTTTTGTTGTGTGCATTTGTGTGGCGATGCGGCTCGATGTGGGGCCCGTGATTCCCCACGTCGACGTCGGCGATGCATCGCCGACGTCCCCGATGCATCGCCGATGCATCGGCGATGCGGCGCGATCCTCCGACCCCATCTACTCGGACCCCATCTGGGAGGCCAAGAAGAGCAAAACGCCATAAGTATGAACTTCTGGCGCTCCGCGTGGATTTCTTGGATCTGCGCTAGGCCCCCTTCTCTAGCGCGCAGAGCGCGCCAATCGCGCCAGGGGCGGCGCCAGAGGCGCCGCCGGGGGGGCCCAACGCGGACCCAAGAAATCCGCGCGGAGCGCCAACAGTTTATGCTTCTGGCGTTTTCCCTCCTCCGATCGAACCAGGGGCCCCACCTCGCCTAGACGAGCGCGTTCCACTACTTGCAAAGTTGCTGCTCGCAAATGGCCTGGATCCGCCGCGGGAGATCCACGGCCAAGTTCATCGAACCCAACATGTGTGTTTTTTCGGACGTTTGCGAGTCGGCACTTTGCGAGCAGTGGCACGTGCTCGGTGATCGCCCCTGCCTCGCCCCCGCCCCCGCCGCGGCCTCCCCGACGTCGGCGTCGACAGCGCCCGCGACTGGGGCCCCGCCGGCGGTGGCCCGCGAGCGGCGTCGCCCCCGCGCCTCGGGAGGCCCTCGTGGCCGTGGCCGCCCTGCGCGCGGCGGCGACGGCGGCGCGGGCGGCGCGGACTCCGACGCCGACGCCCGCGACGCCGACGCCCACGGCGCCCACGAGACGAGATGGCGACGCTGACGCCCAGCGAGGCCGACGAGACGTCGCCGACGGGTCTCAGCGCCGTGGCCACTATTCTTGGAGGCCGCCTTATGGGTGGGCGATGAACGTTGGGGCGGCGATGGCGGCAGAAGAGGGGCCCGGCCTCAAAAGGGGCCCTTTAGCGTCCAGAAGGGGGCCTCTAGGGCCCGAACAATACATCTTTCTTCGCCCCCTCTTTATCCCAAGCTTTGCAAGATCCTGTAGAAAATCATGCAAAATCCAGCAGCCATCATAGGCTTATGTCGGGCGTGTCTCCCATACAAAGGGATTTTCAACGAAAAATGCATCTCAAATACTCCAAAAAATAATACAACAATAGTCTGGGGACTATTCTTTTCGATTGTTTGACCTTTTTGGTGTATTTTGGGGGTATTTGCTTGTTTTTCGTCGAAAATCGCAGCACGGCGGGGCGCCACCCCACGCGCCCAGAGCCGAGCCCGAGGCTGGACGAGAAGAGAGTGCGCACTCCCACGACGGAGTACTCTCTCTCCCAGCCCACCTCCGCCCGAGGTTTGCGCTGCAGACGCCCCAGGGGTAATTATCTGGCGCGCTCTTCGCGCCTGGAGCCCGTGTGTAAAGGGGCCCCAGGACACACAAATAAAATGATCCCCCATATTTTCTCATATTTTCTGGGTTTCTGTCTTCCCCCCATTTCCCATATTTTCGAATATTTTCTGGGAATCGGCGAATAATTGTGTCTGTGTTTTTTCCCCTCCTGAGTGTGGAGCTGCCTCTGCTTCTCGGGAGCGCTGGAGACCGCAGGAGCTCTGTGCGAATGGGCGGCTGGCAAAACCGTGGAAGCGCTGGAGCCCGTGTGGAGGTCTTGGAGCGACCCGCTCCTCCGAGCGCGTGGGCTCCTCCCGGCGCCTGCGGCCTCGAGGTGGGGCCGCTCCCCGACGAGGGGGGGCCGCTCGAGGTGGCCCGCGACGCAGAGCCGGCCGCCGGCGCGGGGGGTGCAGACCTCCAGGGCAGGGGTGGGCCTGAGCGGTGTCTGGGCGGTCTCGTGGGCCGTTTTCGTTTCGATCTCGTTCTGCGGTAAGGGCGGACGGAGGGCAAAACGAGGGGAAACGAAAACAAACCGACAACGACAAACACCGCTTAGGTTCAGCCCTGCTCCAGGGCCAATGCAGCAAAGACCTCCGACCTCAGCGATCTGGGGCGGAGGCCTTCTGAGCGAGGCCAGCACCGACCCGGCAGACCTGCTGCAGCAGATTTTTGCCCGGATTTCCGTCCATGCAAGACCCCGAAACGGCGAGTGAGAAACGAAATTAATTTCGCGTGGATTTGTTTTTAGTCTTCGTTCCTGGTCAAACAGAATCCGCACGAAATTCATCTCGAAATCCCGAACGAAGTTCTCCAGGACACTCTGGGCCCATCCGATCGTTTTCCGAACGAGATCCGCTCTGCGCTGTTGGCGCCATGAGAATGCGTGGGTCCCCAAGATCGCAGCGCAGCGCGGATGCATCGGTCATGTCGGAATTGGGGACATCGGGCCCTAGGTCGAGCCGCATCGCCGATGCACTGGCGGTACAATCTCGGCTGAAGACCTTGCTTCTTCTGGCCCCCAATACGCCGGCCCACTTCTGGAGCCATCAGGCTGCGGGAAGGAGGTTTCCTGCAACCTGCTGCAATTCCAGTTTCCAGTCTCAAACGTTCTATTTCTGCTTTCTGCTTCCCACTGCAAACTGTTGCTGTCCGCGCGAGGGGGTGGGGGGGACCGAAGACCACCCTGGCCACCGTCCCCTTAACCGCGTGCTCTGAACTTCTGGGGTGGCAACTGGGACATGCCAAAACACACGAGGCTCGCGCCCCGAAGGCAACACTCCTGAGCAGATCACGCCAGATGCGCGCCCCGTGGCCACGACGCCTCGTAAGTTGTGCTCGATTCATGTCTCCGAGGCCAAGATCCACAGCAAGTTACGCCAGACTCGCGCATCAGAGGCCATCATTAAGTCGGGCCTGTCCCCTTACAGGGGGATTTTCGACGACAAATAAACATACCCCCAAAATAATCCAAAAATACTCTGGGGACATTTCTTTGTATTTCTTGACCTTTTGGGAGTATTTTTTGGGTATTTCTTATTTTTCGTCGAAAACCCCCTGTAGGGGGACACGCCCGACATAGGGCTATCATTTCTTGTCAGATCGGCAGATGCGCGCCCCCGATGCTAAAGATTCTTCGGATCTCACGCCAGAGGGGCGCCCCCCCGAGGCCGCGCTCCCGGATCCTTGGCAAATATTGCACTGGGCCCGCGCTTTTCCGAAGCCACGATCTCCGTCGTAGAGCACCTTCGATTTCGCTCATCCCGACGCTGCGATCCGGCGTCAACGGCGCCAGGCTCGCGCTCCCGAGGCCACGACCCTTCGCAGATCGCGCCCCCGAAGCGACAATCCCTTGGTGGCTCACGGCAGATTCACGCTCCCGTGGCAACCTCTCGTAGACTGCAGCGCACTCGCGCTCCCGAGCTTACAGCCTCTCGCACACGACGCCAAGTTCGCGCTCCTGAGGCCACAGCCTCTCGCAGAAACTACGGCAAGCTCGCGCCCTCGAGGCGACGTTCCAGCGTCAAGCGGCTGCGGTCGCGCTCACGGTGATGCGACCCGTTCACGAATTACAACTTCGCGCTCCCGGAACATTCATCCGCTGTCCGAAACCCGGAGGCGGGAAGGTTTTCCGCAACCCCGCCTCCGCGGGACGAAGCTTATGTTGATACCATCGTGCTGAAGGACCACGTCGCAGAAACAAGTTCGAGCACCCAGAAAAGACATCGAAACAATGTCCAACGAGTATCGCCTCCCAGGGCCCGACACGTGAACATCTTCCAGTTTCGGTACTTCTGCCGTGCTCGAATTTATCTTTGGAGATCAAGGCTAACGTAGGTTAGAACATCACAAGACGAAACACGCATCATCGTGACTCCTCCGCGCCTCCCCCGCCGCTGGAATGGGACAACTCTCCTCCGCTCCGCTGGTATCCGCTTGCTGCGCGATTCCCCAAAGAGGTCCCAACATCGCCACGACAAGACTCGAAGGCGACGGGATTTCCCTCATGGCGGGCCCATTGCGGGCGACGTTCGCGGGCCACGCGGTCGGCATTGTTGTCTGAGACAGCATGGCTTTTCCCAACAATCCTGTGGTGTTGGGTCCTCGTTTTGAACAGACGGCGCCCCGCGTTCTCTTCCTCTCCTCTACTCTCTCCTCTACTCTCTCCTCTACTCTGTCCTCCTCCTCCTCCTCCTCCTCCTCCTCCGCCTCCTCCTCCTCCTCCCCCTCTTCTTCCCCCTCCTCCCCCTACTCCGTCTTCTCTGCGTTTCCCCCGCCCAGCACAACGTTTCGTGCCCCGTAGGGGGCTCCACCGACGGCCCCAGTGGCTGCGCTCGCATGACACCACCGCACCCATTTCGGCACGCCCCCCACACGTTTCGTGGCCCCATAGGGGGGTCCACCAAAAGCCCCAGTGGCTGCGCTCGAATGACACCACCGCGCCCATTTCGGCACACCCCTATCACGTTTAGTGGCCCCATAGGGAGCTTCACAGAAGGCCCCCGTGGCTGCGCTCGCATGGCACCACCGCGCCCAGTGCGGCACACCCCTCACACGTTTTAGTGGCCCCACAAGGAGCTCCACCGAAAGCCCCAGTGGCTGCGCTCGCATGACACCACCACACTTATTTCGGCACATCCCCCACACGTTTCGTGGCCTCGTAGGGAGCTCCACCGAAGGCCCCAGTGGCTGCGCTCGCATGACACCACTGCACCTATTTCGGCATGCCGCTCACACGTTTCGTGGCCCCATGGGGGCTCCACCGGAGGCCCCAGTGGCTGCGCTCGAATGACACCACCGCACTCATTTCGGCACACCCGTCAGACGTTTCGTGGCCCCATAGGGAGCTCCACCGAAGGCCCCAGTGACTGCGCTCGCATGACACCACCACACCCCTTTCGGCACACACCCCACACGCTTCGTGGCCCCATAGGGAGCTCCACCGAAGGCCCCAATGGCTGCGCTCGCATGGCACCACCGCGCCCAGTGCGGCACACCCCTCACACGTCTCGTGGCCCCATAGGGAGCTCCACCGAAGGTCCCAATGTCGGCGCTCGCATGACACTACCGCGCCCCTGTTGGCACACCCCTCACATGTTTCGTGCCTCATAAGGGAGCTCCACCGAAGACGATGCCAACAATTGCGTTACTCACAACTGCACATGGTTGGGTCCTTCGCTGGGATTTAGTATTGTGGGGCCCTTAGAATCCCAGAATAACCTCCGATCTTTTTTTTGTTTTGTTTTGCCCCGCCCCCCCCCCCCCCGGAAAAACACCCGAACAAACACGCGGAAAACCTGCGAAACACCTCCACATTGGGTTTGTTGTCGGTGGTTTCCCGCGGGGTTCTCTGAACTAATCTTGTTTTAAACTGTGGGGCCCCAAACTCCCGAAAAAACGTTGAAACCGACTGATTTGTTGGGTTCCCCCTCCCGGAAAAATAACCAAAAACCGATCGAACAACTTCAAACAAAAGACAACAACAGCAGAAACACCGCAATGAAAAAGAAACGCCTTAGCAACAACTCAATGGGGGGCTCCTGGATGGGTTCGACGAACTGCCACAACCAACTGGCTTCTGCAGGCGGGGGGGCTCCAGCCACAGAGTCATAGAACTGCGGAGGTCAGTCGCTGTGAAACCTGTAACTGTGTAATATTAGAAAAACGATTTAACGCCTGAGGTAATTCATACAGTGAAAACCCATGCCAAGAAACACCCTGCTTGCCTCCAGGGTGCCCTCTGTTTCTTGGGTTTCGATGGGTTTGTCATGGAAAGCGTGACGTTCCCACACCAACAATCAATGGATGCCATGGGGTCTCAGGTTTGGGCTTCTTGTGGAGAGTTTCTTGTGGTCGAGTTCCTACTGTACTTACCTTGCTAGTTTGAATGATTCTTACTGCTGGCGCAGAGGGTGAAGCACATGCGGATAACCAGGCCTGGAGCAAGGGAAGGCGGGGGAGGGAAGCGACAGGGCAAGGCATTTGGCGAAAGCGTGCAACGTAACGGCTGCCAACTGTCAAGACCGCCGGCGTAATATGGTTGGGAGGCGAAGCAAGTAGTGTCAGTTGTCGCTGTTGGCCCTGGATCCTGCTCTCTTGCTGCTCCTGCTCCAGCTGCTGGTTCCTCTTCCCCTCTCGGCCAGCAGAAAGGGAAAGGCGGGTAGACCGAAGGGGGGGTAGTAAATGGGCGGGTAGCGAATCAGCCAACGTAACTGATTTGCCTGGCGCCTCCAGGCGCCAGGAGGCGCCAATGTATCGAGGAAAGCGTTTTGCGGCGGAGGGGAAACCGACTGCAAGCAGCAGGTCTCGTACCCTGCCCTTTCCCTATTCGACGCGAGCATGGGGGAACAAGAAGTGGCATAAACATAAAAACTCGGAGGTCCGCGCGGATTTCTCGGATCGGCGCTGGACCCCCTCCCTGGCGCGCGGAGCGCGCCAAGGGCGGCGCCCGAGGCGCCGCCGGGGGCCCCAGCGCCGATCCGAGAAATCCGCGCGGACCTCCGAGTTTTTATCTTTAGGTCACTTTTTGTTCCCCTAGAGTGAGGCAGAGTGTGGAAGCCGACCTGGTGGCTGTTCTGCTGGTGCTGGCCGAACATGCCGCCGGGGCCGGCCTGTGCCGCCACCCCGGGCCGCCCCTATGGGGCCACATGCGAACCCTACCCCTACCCCCCATGATTTCTGAGAGGGAGGGTGGGGTTCACTTCCCCACCCTCCCCCTCAAAAATCGTGGGGGGTAGGGGTAGGGCTCGCATGTGGCCACCTGGCCCCAGCAGCAGAAGCGCCCGAGGGTGGCCGCCGCCGTCGCCCGGCGAGGAGGTGCGGAGGGATGCTGCGTGCGCTGCCGGAGGCGGCCTGGCCTTCAAGGGCATGCTCTGGAAGCCAGCTGGGCTCCCCGGGAGGTCCTGGGGGCCCCTCGGGCCGTGGACGCCTCTGGCAGCGCCCGGATAGTGGCGACGCGCAGGGGTCGGGGCGATGAGGCAGGCTTCCCCAAGAGCATGGGGGTTCTCAAAGGGCGTCGGCAATGATCCCCGCGCGTTCTCATCGGGGGGGCGCAACTGACCACCTCACCGATCATGCCAGATCCATCATCAACACTGGATGGGTTCATACGGTCTCCTGGCCTCAGTGGGCTCCGGAAACGGCAGGGCCGTTTTTTTCACCGTTTCCGAAAAACAGTCTCTTGAACATGGAAACAGAGAACGGAAACGGCAACAAAAACTGCTCCACGATTGGAACTGGAGCCGGAACCGGTCAAAAAAAAACGGCGTCGGAACCGGCAAACATACGGCAAAACGGAATCGGTAAAGAAACGGCCGTCGTTTCCAGGGCCCAGCAAGCTCCTGGCGTCCTCTCCATGCCTCCCTTTGCGCGCTGTTGAAGAGCGGAGGATCGGAAGGGGTAGGGAGATGAGGAGCAACACCAGAACGAGGGACATACCAATACGCTCAACATCTTTCGAAGTGTGCACTTACCTGTCTGTTATCATCCTGCGCGGGATAATCACAATGGATGGGCACTGACCTAGCATGCTTTGCGGCCTGGCCTTCCTCCTTTGAACCCATCTGGTGAGCCAGACGACGGTGCTTGCGTCTGAATTTCAAGCAGCTGCGGTGGCCACTGGCTGCTTCTCTTATCCCCAACCATCCTGTGATATTGGGTCCGCGTTTTGGATCAGCAGCGCCCCGCGTCACTCCTCCCTCCTCCTCACTCCCTCATCTCTCATTTCGGCACACCTCTCACACGTTTCGTGGACTCCAATGCCCCAGTGGCAAAGTTCGCATTCGCTCCCGCCGCCCATTTCGGCACACCCCTCCCACGTTTCGTGGCCCCATAAAAAGGGGCTCCACCTGGCAGGGTTCGCATGCGTCCCGCTGCCCATTTCGGCTCACCCCTCCCACGTTTCGTGGCCCCACAGAAAACTTCACCGAAGGCCCATTGTCAGGGCTCGCATGCGTCCCCCCGCCCATTTCGGCGCACCCCTCGCAAGCTTCGTGGCCCCACAGGGAGCTCCCCCTTGCCTCGTACAACTTGCCTTGCGGTGCTCACGCTTACAGATGGTGGGGTCCTTCGCCAGGATACAATTTTGCTGGTCGCTAGTCTCCTTGTGCGAGCTCCTGGCGCTCGTCTTCTTCCTGGACGCTCCTGGTGAGAGGGCCGCAAGTGCCCAAAGACCTCACAAACAGCCCCAAGAAGGCCTCACGCTGGCCCGGGTAAGCTGCCAAGAGGCTCCCGGATTCGAATGTGTGTCTGTGGTCTGGTAGACTTTCTTGAGTGCGCATGGCCACTCGCCCTCAGCGCGCATGTTCCGAACATCGTCGCCCCCCCCGCCCTGGTTGTGCTCTCCGCCGCCCCTTTTCGGCCTGCATGCTGGCTCGCAGACCGCGACAGAACACCCCGAGAGGGCTGCAAGACAGCACAAGCCCATCCAAAGGCGACTTCACGGTCCCCGAGACAGCCCGAGAGGGTCTCAAGACGGCCCAGGGAGGTCCCAAGACTGCCCAGGAGACCTCCAACGCGCCCCAACAGGACTCCAAAGGCGGCGCACAGGAGGCCCTCAAGAGACACGCGTCGCTGATTTTTCTCAGGTGTTCGGACAGCTGCGCAAGCTTCTGACAGCGGAAGACGGCTTCAGGGGCACCCAGTGTCGCTCCAAGACGGCCCCGAGACTCAAGACAGCCCAAGGGGACCCCGCGACAGCCAAACATGCCCTCACGCGGGCCAGGAGAGGGGCCAGAGAGGGGGGGACTCAGAGTGGCTTCGGGAGCCTCCCCTTCCCGAGAGGCCCCCAACATGTCCCTGGGAGGCCGCCGAAGCGCCCGCCGAGGTCTGGGTCTGGCCCCAGTCTGGCTCGTGGAAGCTTGGTGGTGCTTCGTCTCTCTCCCCTCTTCCCAAGCATTCTCACCCGCTGGGGTTTCTCTCCTCCATTTGCTGCCTGAGCCCAGTCGGCCTCGAGTTGAGCGGCCAGACAGGCTCAAATCCGACGGGATCGCGGGAACTTTGTCCCGTGCGGCCGACGAGTGGGCTCGATCGCATGCCCACTCGGCGGCCGAATGGGCTCAGACGCCGAATATGCTCAGACGGGATCCCCATGACCACCCTGGAGCCGAGATGCCGCCGACCCAATCTTCCGCTGGGGGATGCTTTTCTATGGGTCCGGCCCCGCAGCGAGCTTCCGAAGGGCCTTTCGGCCAGGCGCAAGAGCGACCCTGAGTAAGAGTGACCTTTGGTGCGCAGCTTTTGGGGGCGCGAGGGAGCCAAACCCGAGGGCGCGGGCCGCTTATATCGCATCGCGCTCGGCGATCGGGGGGAGCCCGATGAGCCCGCACCAAAGGTCACTCCAGCGGAATGTCACTCTTACGCGTAGTCGAGCCTTCCATCTTGGACGCCCGCGCTGGCGTCGCCACCGCCACTTCCCTAGGGAGCCCACAAAGGACGTACGCGCCCAGCTATGTACGTGAACACGGCCCCTCGGTTCGCGAGACCGGCCGCGTCATACGAACATTTGTGCAATGCGTGCTCTCGAAAACAACGTGGATTCATGTACATGTACGTCCTTCTTTCGCTCCTGATTCCCTTCCAGCTCGATCCCCGGACTCTCCCCGGGCGGCACCCCCACAGCTGCTCCATGCTGCGCCTCCGGCCGCTCTCGTGTGGAGGCCCCGCCCGCCACGCCCGGGCGGCACGAGCCTGCCCCCCCGAGCTCGCCGAGGACCGGCCTCCTCCTCCTCCTCCTCCTCCTCCTCCTCCTCCATCTCCATCTCCTCCTCCTCCTCCTCCTCCTCCTCCTCCTCCTCCTCCTCCTCCTCCTCCTCCTCCTCCTCCTCTCACGGCGACGACGACGACGATGACGGCGACGACGGCCGGGCGACAGAGACGACGAGGACGCTTACGACGGCCGATGCCGTCGACGACGACGCTTGGCAGCTCGCCTCGGGCGTCTGCGGGGTGCCGGCGAGGCCGGGAGGGCCGCTCTGGCGGTGGGCTCGCGGCTCCTGCGCGGGGGGTGCGGAGCAGCCGAGTAGGGGCGGGCCGCTGCCGCTCCCTCCTCCTCCTCCCCCTCCTCCTCCTCCCTCCTCCCCTCCTCCTCCTCCTCCTCCTCCTTCTCTTCCTCCTCCTCCTCCTTCTCTTCCTCCTCCTCCTCCCTCTCCTCCTCCTCCTCCTCCTCCTCCTCCTCCTCCTCCTCCTCCATCATAACTTCTCCTGGTCAATAACTTCTCCCTGGCGCACCACGAGGCCAGTTGTTAGGGCGGACCGGGCGTTTCGCCTGAGACGCCCTCGCCATGTATGACTCTGAAGCTTGTAGAAATTGGTAACCGTTTCGCAGATGGAGGGCGTGTCGCATTCAAAATGTGGCTCTCGCCTTAGTTTGGCGCGCAGTCGTTTAAAGAATTTGCAAAGGTTTCGCGAATTTAGAGCGATTCGTTTTCAACATGTGGCTCTCGCCTTAGCGCGGCGCACATTCGTTTCAAACATGTGCAAGAGCTTCACGGATTGAGGGCGGGCCGTCTTCAAAATGTGGCTCTCGCCTTAGCGCGGCGCACATTCGTCTAAACACATTGCAAGAGTTTCACGGATTCATGGCGAGTCGTTTTCAACATGTGGCTCTCGCCTTCACGCGGCGCACATTCGCTTTAAGACTTTGCAAGAGCTTCACCGGTTGAGGGCGGCTCCTTTTCAAAATGTGGCTCTCGCTTTAGCGACGCGCACATTCGTTTTACAATTTCTAAAAAGTTTCACGGGCTCCCATCATTAACGTACCAGGAACGGTGTTTTCGAAAGATTCAAAATTATGTGGGTGCAACAATTACGTTTGTTCTCTGTGTTGAAGTCCTAGGAATGGCGTTCTGGAACGATTCAGGATCGTCAAGACGCCACAGTCAGGTTGATCCGTGGCGTTGGAATTCTGAAAACAATGTCTTGGCATGCTTTTCAAACGGGTGTTTTCCAACGAGGCAGTTCCCGCAGTGGAAATGAACCGTTGTAGGGGCCTATGAAGAGGGGGAGCTTGGAGGGAGGGTTTAAACAAAAATCGTTGATGACTCTTGGGTTTGCATTGGTCCTCCTCTTCTTGCTCCTCTTCCTCCTCCTCCTCCCCCTCCCCCTCCCCTCCTCCTCCTCCTCCTCCTCCTCTTCCTCCTCCTTCTCCTCCTCCTCCTCCACAATTACTCAATATGAATACAATTCTCCCTCTTCCCCTGATGACGTGCTGGGAGCGTTCGCCCCCCCCCCGCGTCTTGTTTTTTTACACGCAGGTTTCCCGGGAGTTGGGCTTTCGCTTGCATTTTTTTCAAAATGCTGCTCTCGCTGAGGCGCCGGCCTCATTTTCGGGCCCCGCTCGTTCCGAATCGTGCTCCCGCTGCAGCGCTGGCCTCATTTCCGCGCTTCCGCTCGTTCCGAATCGTGCTCCCGCTGCAGCGCTGGCCTCATTTCCGCGCTTCCGCTCGTTTCGACTCGTGCTCCCGCTGCAGCGCTGGCGTCATTTCCCGTGCCATGCCACGGCGTGCAATTCAATGCTAGGTTGATGCTACGCTTCGCGGTGCTCTTCTACGCCATGCCATGCCGTGCTCTACAATGCATCGCGTACCCTTTCGGGATCATTGCCATGCTCGACATCCGACTGTGCGAGTAGAGAGGGGATCTGCGCCATGGTAAAGGATGGGACGGAGGGGTAGGATGTCAGATATGACGCGAGCGCACCTAGCCTGCCCTCCTCCCCCTCCTCCTCCTCCTCCTCCTCTTCCTCCTCCCCCTCCTCCTCCTCCTTAACTTTTCCTGATCAGTAACTTCTCCCTGTCGCACCCAAAGGCCAGTTGTTAGGGCGGGCCGGGCGTTTCGCCTGATACGTCCTCACCATTTATGACTCCGAAGTCTAAAAAATTGGTAACCGTTTCGCATATGGAAGGCGGGCCGCATTCAACATGTGGCTCTCGCCTTAGCTTGAAGAATTTGCCAGGGCTTCACGAATTTAGAGCTAGTCGTTTTCAACATGTGCCTCTCGCCCTAGCGCGGCGCACATTCGTTTCAAACATGCGCAAGAGTTTCACGGATTGAGGGCGGGCCGTCTTCAAAATGAGGCTCTCGTCTTAGCGCGGCGCACATTCGTCTAAACACATTGCAAGAGCTTCACGGATTCATGGCGAATCGTTTCCAACATGTGGTTCGCCTTCACGCGGCGCACATTCGCTTTGAGACTTTGCAATAGCTTCACGGGTTGAGGGCGGCCCTTTTCAAAATGTGGCTCTCGCCTTAGCGCCGCGCACATTCGTTTTACAGTTCCTAAAAAGTTTCACGGGCTCCCATCATTAACGTACCAGGAACGGTGTTTTCGAAGGATTCAGGATTATTTGGGTGCAACAATTACGTTTGTTCTCTGTGTTGAAGTCCTAGGAATGGCGTTCTGGAGCGATTCAGGATCGTCGAGACGCCACAGTCAGGTTGATCCGTGGCGTTGGAATTCTGAAAACAATGTCTTGGCATGCTTTTCAAGCGGGTGTCTTCCAGCGAGGCAGTTCCCGCAATGGAACTGAGCCGTTGTAGGGACCTATGAAGAGGGGGGGGCTTGGAGGGGGGGTTTAAACAAACGTCGGCGATGACTTTTGGGTTTGCACTGGTCCTCCTCTTCTTGCTCCTCTCCTCCTCCTCCCCTCCCCTCCCCCTCCCTCCTCCTCCTCTTCCTCCTCCTCCTCCCCCTCCTGCTCCTCCTCCTCCTCCTCCTCCTCCTCCTCCCCCTCCTCCTCCTCCTCCTCCTCCTCCTCCTCCTCTACCTCCTCCTCCATAACTTTTCCTGATCAATAACTTCTCCCTGTCGCACCGCGAGGCCAGTTGTTGGGGCGGGCCTGTCCTCCTCCTCCTCCCCCTCCTTTTTTGGACTTGCGGTCAGGATTATGTGCGCGAGGCGAAACCCATCAGGAGCAGGGGGAAAGGGCGCGTGACAGGGCCGAAGAGAGACAGCGCAGAGAGCGAGCAACGCACGCGAACGGTCCCGGGAGCCAGCCGAGGCAGGAACGGGGACCCGACACCCTGTCAGAGCAGGGGCAGCCTGCGCCGCGGGCCCGCGAGGGCTCAGGGCATCAGGCGGAGCCACGGGCCCGCCAGGGCTCAGGGCTGAGAAAGAAGCGGACATTGCGGACATTGCAGAATAAACGGCGACGAAGAGCCCCGGACACCCGACGCCAAGCGCAACGAGCCGAGCCCAGCGAGGCGACGAAGGAAAACGAGCCGAATCCAGCAAACGCGTCCACTCAGCACACTCGCTAAACCTCAGAGCTGGTGCAAGGGGCTCAGGAAGTACTGGAAGTACTTGGCCCCATGCGCGCGTACCACTGGTCGAAGATCTGCTCGTGCTGGCACAAATCTCTGAAGAACATGCCAACGCCCGGCTGCCCTTGACTCGCTGCGAAGTCGTAAAGCCTGTCGAAGATGTCATTCGTCATGAACTTGCTGTGGTACTGGAATCGTTCCGCTGCCTTGTGAAAAGCATGCCTGGGAACCTGCTTGGTGCTCTTGCCGACGCAATCTAGGTTGCATGGGCGAATGCGTAAGGCCTCCGACCCAGATTTGAAGACCCAGCGGTCGCTGCCAGTATCATACGTTCCCAAAACGCCTTCGGTGCCATAGAGGAGCGTGCGGCCCTTGATGCCCACGATGCGCACTGCCTGACCATCCAGCAACACGCGAACAGGATTTCCCGTCTGAAGCGCCTGCCCCGCGGGTTCTTGCTGGTCTGCGTCCGCTGCTCCTTTGGCAGCGGAAAAACTCTTTTTCCCGGCAAACTCGACTTTTTCCCGGCAAACTGGACTGTTTCCCGGCGATCCGTTTCAGAAACATTTAAAGCTTTTGAAAAGCTTTACAGAGTTCCCTCCGACGACGGACCCTGGAACCTCTGACGCGGCCGCCTTGGGGCCTCCTTAGGCCGCCTTGGGGCCTCCTTAGGCCCCCTTGGGGCCTCCTTGGGGCACTCTTGGGCCGCCTTGGGCCAGCTTGGGGCACTCTTGGGGCCGTCCTGGGTCGCCGATGAGGCCTTTTGGGCCGTGCTGAGGACGTCTTGGAGGCCACTAGTATTGATGTTATTCGTGGTACTACCAATGCTGTCCATGTATGTACACCTCAGACTGCTGTGATTGGATGTGCGACTGCTGCTCCCGATACTGCTTTCGATACTGTGCGACTACTGCTGCCGACGGTGATGATGACGGCGAAGATGATGATGATGAGGATGAGGATTACGATGATGAAGATGATGATGACGGTGATGACGATGATAATGATGATGACGATGATGGGAGGAGGGAGGAGGGCAACGGAAGTGAGTGAGTGAGGTGACGCGGGGCGCTGTTTCTTCAAAGCGAGGCCCCAACACCACAGGATGGTTGGGGAAAGAATCACGGTGCTACTACTATCTAGTGGCCTTCGGCCCATCCCGCCACCGTGCCTGGATTCGTGGACATTGGACGTTGTTGGAGGCTATGGTGCCGTCGTGGAGCGGTGGGGAACCGAAAGCGCGAGAATCTCAAATTCTGGACCACTCGAGGCATGTCGGCAGCATGCCTCAAGTGGTACCGAAGAAGTACGTCTTGAGGCATGTCCGTTGTATGCCTCAAGCAGTACCGATCAGGTATCACTTGAGGCATGTCGGCAATATGCCTCAAGTGGTACCCAATGTATGTGTGTCGGGATCTCGTGTTACGCCTTTCGGGGGTCTTTGGGAGGCAGTTTTGAAGCCTCTTGGGGGCCGTTTTAGGGCCTCTGGGAGTCTTTTTGGGGCCTCATGGGGGCTTCTTGGGGGCTGCTTGGGGCTTCTTGGGGGCCTCTTGGGGGCCTCTTGGGGGCCTCTGGGGGCCTCTTGGGGCACTCTTGGGCCCCCCTGGGGCTCCTGGGGGCGGAAAGTTTGATTTTTTGATTTTTTTTGTCGCCCTCTTGGACCCCTCTTGGTGCCGTCTTGGAGCCCTCTTGGGCCGTCTTGGAGCCCTCTTGGGCCGTCTTGGGGCCGTCT